GACCCCCAAGATTCATAACTTAGTGTATCTATACACATGTATACTCTAAAGGGGTCCACTTTAACCTTCTCTGCCAACCTACCTTAGTAGCAATGCTATCAATGACTGGCAATCCCTAAAGGGTTACAACAGGACAATCTGACCATTAAAGCAGATCACCTAATAGTGTGATGTATGAGGCTTTAATGTAAAAACAATGCATAAATTCAGCTTTAGCCAAGCCATGTCAACGAGGTATGGAAACACAATATAAATACACCATATTCTCTAGGGTGATGTATTTGGTACCCACCTTTATTGGGCCGATGGACCTCAGAAGGTTCTTAAGCTGCAAATCGGTTGTAGATGAGGAGAGGCCTTCAATGGACACAGTGCAGCGCTCACTCTCATCAGTCTTTTGGCTCTGTCTGGTGGGCATCGGACGACCTCGACCCATCTGGCTACCCCCTCTACCTCGGCCCCGGCCTGACACAACAACCTAAAACCGATGGAAGGAGTCATTTTAAAAACAGGGAGAGAGACCACAGATGTACAGAGTGAACCTTCTCCTCCTAAAAACGGGCACGCAGGTGCATTCAGCCGTGTGGAGAGTTTTCTGAGCACAAAGGCAAATTTTTAAAATTCTACACGTTTCCCTCTCACACCTCTCAGCCTTGTCACGCTTTCACATGATTGACTCGTCATATTTCTGCATTGAACATCAACATCAGAACACGATGCAAGCGGCGTGGCATATCTTCATATGAGCTTGTGAGTGAGAGATATGTTGCTTCAGCAGCAGAGGGGGAGGAAGAAGAAGAGGAGGGGAGGAGGAAGAGAGGAGAGGAGCTAGTGGGAATATGTCTGTATGTGTTGGGGGGCGGGGGAGCATAAAGGGAGAGGAGCCATGCAAGCGTTATGGTGGCTGCCTTACCTTGTCAGCGCCAGTGAGTACGGTAACAGTGACAGGAGCCTGGCGGTGACAGGCGTGCAGAGAGGCCAGGGGACCTTGTGTAGTCCCCCTGTGTTACACCATTTTCAGCCTGTCAATACTCCCGCACCTGGCATACTGTCCTGTCTTATTACAACTCCTCGATTGGTACGTCTACTGAATGCCACAGGAGTGCCACTGGCACAGGACAACTTTACAGGAGTCATTTCAGCTTCTTTTATAGCAGAACTGCCATCGCATGTGCAGTGACCTCCATTAATAATCACATTTCAGGCGAAATTCTTTCTAGTGTCTACACCGCAAAAGAAACAGAGCTCATTTTGAGCATACCCTGTTTTGTTGTGGGTTGCCCATGCCCCCGCGGCTAGCCTGCGACGGTCCACCTGGTCCCTGTTGCTGTTGTCCTGTCATGGTAACTTTCCTTTGGATGCCCTGGTTGAGCGTAGCTGCTGGCCAGGCGCCTTGTTCCTGTACTGGGCTGCTTGTGGCCTCAGGCCCCTTTCCACTCTGGATGGGAATGATGGAGGGCAAAACTAATTTAGCATCTCAAAAAACAAGAATAATTAATTATAAACTTCCCACTTTTTAAAATCACCTTATGCACATTAAGCATTTAGGGGAAAGTGGTTTATGGGCAACTGGGAGAAATGCAAGGACATATCTACAATGTTAAAATCCGTCAGGACTGGACGCTGGATTCGTATCCGCCAGGCTGTGGAGAATAAAGATCAGCTCAACAAGGTGATGGTCTCATTATCAAATAAAGTCACAGCTCAACTGTGTTGACATGCAGGGAGGAATTGAAGGTCGTCTCCTCCCCGAGTCTGCAGAAAGATGTGACAGATCAATACGAGGGAAGAAAAGAGGCGATATCTCTGACCTGTCCCCAGCTGAGAATAAATGGATTAATCCCTCCTATAGAAATCACAGCTCCTGATTGCGCCCATCAAATGCTAAGCTGCATTACACTGAAACGACAGCAGCTCGATGTGTACCCCATCTCCCTTGCGCGCTCCCCTCCTCCCCAGCTTTTGTGTTTTGCACTGCTTTGTATTATCCCTGATGAAAATATAATTTGCCTCTTATCTGTGTGCCTAAGCCATACAAATCCAAATCCTCAAAAGTGGCAACTTTCTTACACAGGTATTATGTTTCTCCCCCCACCGCCACCACCTTCAACCAAAAAAGATTAATTACAAGAGTCTTGGATTGGCATCTTTTGTTGCTTCGCACCTGAGAGATGGGCTGAGGGAAAAAAGCAACTGAGGGATGACAAGAAAGGGAGAGAGAGAGTGTGAGGAAAAATAAGGAAAGGAGATAACATTGTCAAGCTCCCGTTGATGACAGCAGAACAATGTGGAAGAGAGAGCACCTGGAGAATGTTCTTTTCACTGCTGCTATAGGGCCCTAGCCGTTTCTTTCCCTTTCCATCTCTCTCTCTCCCCACTTCACATCCCACTCCCCTTTTTTTCTCCAAGATGCGCTACATCAGATAGCTCTGCGCAGGTTTCCATTAACGCGCTGACACCCAGTTATCTTCATCTGCAGCCAGCCTGTGATTTTGGCTCGGCGGCTTGATCCTCTGGGATGAAGTCGAAAAGCAGCTTATTTCAAATACTATCATATCCCACCAACACATCTCATCAGTGACAAGTATGAATGTTTAACATGCACGCTTTTGTGGTTTTTCAATAAAGATTAATGTGCAATTAAGGCCACAGCAGTAACTTATCAAGCAAGTACAAAAACAGACAGCAGTGGTAATTCTGGACTTTACCGCCGTTACCGTCATTCCTATTTTACCCCCTCCGAGGCCTTTATCATTAAAAGAATACTCTTCTGTCCTGAAAAGAGGATATCAACCTTTAGGAGCAGTGATGAGGTGTCCCCAACTCCACAGATAAATGTCATATTGCTCTCTTTTAATGCCTCCAGGCTTTCTGTGTTCTCTAGGTAAAATGTATGTAAAGACACTGTGGCTTAAATACCAGATCCCAAAGCTTAAGAGAGGAAACTCTTAACAGATCAATTTTTCCAAAATGACACAGACATCACTATGTCATTCCCATAGGTTAGATATCATCTGGACTGCAACACAGACAGTGAGGGCAATCAGTGGCATTTCCTTTCAAAACTGTGCAGTTTCCCATGTGGGTAAAATCTGCTGAAGAGGATCAAATAAATGTCAAACCAAAACAGGCAAAGAGGTGTAGGATAAAAATGAAATCATATGCTCACCGCTCCTGAAAGTTTGACGACTCTGACTTTTTGCGGCACCTGCTGGCGCTCGAAGCTAGTACTCCTTGCCCGCTGCATCACAGTTCTTTTAGCGCCAAGTTTAGGTCCTTGAGCCTGAGCCAGGGCTGGACTCGCTGAAGGAGTATCAGGTACGTTCCTTTGAGGAACTTGAATGGTTTGGATCGGAGCACCAGGTCGGTTTACGTTCTGCAAAGCGCTGTTTCTTCGCTGCTGCACTGGCTGCAGCTGATTTTGTTGGGGTTGCTTAACAGGCCGGGCAGGCTGTTGCTGCTGAATGCTGCCTTTTACCATCTGCAGCCGTGTCCTGACATTGGGACGGGGCGCGGGGGTCTGAGCAGCACTGCTGGGAGGGATGGTGTTACCTATATTGCCAAGCTTTAATGTGGGATTTACTGATTGTTGTGTTCTCTGAGGAAACTGTCTTTGCTGTTGTGGTTGCAGTTGCTGTTGTGGTTGCAGTTGCTGTTGTGGTTGCAGTTGCTGTTGTGGTTGCAGTTGCTGTTGTGGTTGCAGTTGCTGTTGTGGTTTGTGTTCTGGTGGTGGTTGCTGCTGCCGCTGCTGCTGCTGTTGTTGTGCTGGAGGTACAGGGTGTGGTATTTGCTTATTTGGTTGCTCGGGCTGAGCTTGTGTAGTAGTGGTGCCTTGGCTTGGTGCCTGGGCATTAAGTCTTTCAAGCAGCTCCTTCTTCCTGACACCAGCCTGCATCTGCCGTCGCATCTCCTTCCTCTTTAGAATCTCCTCTCTCAGACGCTTCTGCTCCTCAATCTTCAGACGATACTGCCGTGTCTCCTCATCCTCATCAGGATCCTGTAGCACAAAACACAAGCTGGAAATATGCCTGCCACACTTCACTTCCTGGATGTAGCACTGTGTCTTATTTTAATCATTATTGCTTGGGTTGGGCATTAAGTCTAAAGCATGTGAAAATGTCATCAGCAAATATATGATTTGGTTTTTGGTGAATTTTTAGCAAGTAAAAATCCAAAGACTTTAGTATACAGCAAGTAATTTTTTGTACTTATTACACACATCAATGTTTTTAGATTACATTACTTTAAAAATAATGTATAGTATTATTATTATATATTAATATTCCCCTGTTTTTACTGGCATCTAGTAGCATGTAATGCAATAGTACTACCAGAAGGTGGCAGCAATGAAATTATAAGTTGTCTGCCAGTCTCCTCCAAGCCTATTATAAATTCTAACTAAAACAGAAGAATACCGCCTTCACTAACAATTACTAGACACATATTAGATGCTCTGATACAAACAAAAAAAAGAAAAAAAAAACATCTATGGCCATTAAAAAGTTCTAAAGAATGAATGACAACAACCACTCCATAGTTTTCCAGGTATATAGAGCATATATATCCACAGTCATATGAGAGTGGGTGCCGAGGGGTAATCTTTGAATAGTCAAATAGCTTCCTATGACTACTTTAGAGTATTTTAGCTTGAAATGTTCATCTCTAACACCGATTTCCTTCTTTTACTTTTGGGACACGAGCTTACGATGGTTTGAATTTCATGATGCAGGAAAAACAATGCTGCAAATAACATTTTTGACACTGTGTTGTATACCAGAGGATTTATAAAAAAGTGTATTTGGAAAAAAAAATCATCACATTACTATAAACACATTATGTATTATCCAAACATGCTCATTTTTTAAAATTTACTTCTTTTGTCCTTGTCTATGATCAAAAAAAAAAAAAAAACAACAAAAATTTGATCTTCGAGTCCTGACCTGTGGTGTCACGCCGGACGGCGTGCGTGGAATTTCCTTGCGAACAACTGTCCTGCCTGCTCCCTCAGGCTGTGATTCAGTCTTCGCAACAGCTTGGCCTCTTCCTTTGCCACCGTCAGGCATCGGCTGAGTGTTCTGCCCAGGACGCATCCCCTGTGTTGTCCTGGCAACAGGCTTGATGTTGGCAGCGGGGGAGGTGGGGGTGGTGGCAGGGCGGGCGCTGTTCGTGTTTGTGTTGCCAGGTGCTACAGGGAGCTCACGCAGGTTGCTGTTGCGCTGCTGCATTTGCTTGGAGACAGGTGTGTTCTGAAGAAAAGGCCAAATTTTGTGTTTTCAAACCATTTAGCTCAGTTTTTATTTACTGATTAAAAATAGACGCGATACATATAACAACGATGGCAACATTTTATTCTTTCATTCTTAAACTGCGACCAGTTTAAGAATAAAATAAATGAGATAATATGTTAATCACTCACCATTCTCTGCCTGTTAGACATGTGGCGCTGTTGGGGGTTCAGAGGGCGGGGATTCATCTGCCTTGGGCTGCCATGCCCCTGCTGTTGATGGAAAGGATTCTGGCCATGGTGCATGATGGGGCGAGGCTCACCGAGATTTAGCTGCGGCTGCTGATGGTGGGGTAAGTCCTGCCTATGGTGTTGCTGCTGCTGGTGCATGGGCTGATGGGGTGACAGCGGATCATGATGTGGAAGCTGGGAAACAGGAGGGCCGTGCATTAAGCCCTGAAAAATTAGGAGGAAAAGAAGAAAAGCTCAATGAACACATCTTTTTCTGAAACAACAGGAACAGGACTAGTTTTTCTGAAAGTTGTTCCCAACATTGGAACGAGAAATTTCTACATAATTGAGCTCTAACTTGTGTCCTCATACATCCAACTAAATAGTACTAAAATAATGCTTTAATCACTAGAGGGCGCTCTTGTCTATGTCTCCAGTCAAAATGCAGCAGTGCCAAACACAAGAGCCTCAACACTTTAGCAGCAATGAATATGATTACTAGTCAGACCAAATTATTGAATTTAGAAAGCACGTCTAACTGTGGTAGAAGAGGAGAAAAAGGGTTAAATAAACAAACATTCACTAAACAAACAGACACAAATACACATAGACATCTAGTGGTTATAGAAATCACTTACTCTTAGTCGTACCTGCATCCCAAACGGAACTTGTGTAGGAGGGAAAAGGTTCCCCTGTTGGCCAAAAGCTTGACGAGGGCCCATGAAAGGCCTGGGCTGGTTGGGGGGTCCACCTTGTTGATTTAAGTTCACCATTCCCGGGTGATTTTGGTGGGGAGGGATGTTGTGTCTTGGGGGTTCTCTCCCAAACAGTCCAAGCGGGCCCTGGCCCGGGTGGTTGAAGGCTGGTCCTGGTGGGCCGAAGCCCATGTGGCCCTGGCTGGGCAGCTGCTGCTGGTGGAGGTTGTTGCTGCTGTTCATCAGAGGGCCGGGGCCCTGGTGATCAAACATGTGCTGCCCTGGAAACCGTGTTGAATCTGTGCGCTCTGTTTCCACATGAGGAATAACAACAACATAAGGGAGATGTCAGCTTTCTTTCCTTGAGACTACACCGGTAACTAAGACTCCGGATGTATACTGTTATAGCATGAAAAACGGATACAGCCAGCTCTCTCAAGGTGAACGGAAAAACAAACATGTTGGTTATTAACTCTGCAAATGAAATATGTATAATGCCATTTCCAGGTTTCATTCTGACGTATATAAATATATACACACATGAATTCTACATGAGTTCTGCTAACCAGAAAGCTAGCAGCATACCCTGTAGGTATAGCGCCAGAGGTGATGATGAACAGGGTTAAATATGCTAAGAGAGCTTTGTTATCCTCATCAAGGCTGGATGTGAGACTCACCTCCCATAAAGAGGGGTTCTCTGTCCTGGGGGCCTTGAGGTGGCTGGTTCCTAAAGGGCTCCATGTGATGAGGGGGCCGCTGGGGCTGACCGAAATTACCAGGCATGTGCTGCTGAAAGTCTCCCGGTCCCTGGGAAAACACAAAACTCATGAATTATAGGCCATTCTGGGAACTCAATAATCACAAACAAATTAAACTAATGAAAAATGGGAATTTGTGAGGTATTGCATTGGGCAGAAAGCGCTTGTAATTGAGGTGCTAGGGTCATTAAAAAGATGCAGAATCTTGAGTTGTAAACATCAATATGCATGCCAATATTAAAGAAACCCTTCAGCATGAATTTGTGAGCAAACCTGCATTAATGCTACTCTGGGCTTCTAAAAGGCTTTTTTTCTAACAAGGAAAGGGTATTTCAGGAGGGGATAAGTGCCCTCATCTTTGTTTCAACCACTTTGTATGTTAGACAGCTTTCCACTCATCGCATGCACACCACACCCAATCTATCTTCCAAGGAAAACTAGATAACCATTTAATCCCTCCTTGGAATTCGAATCCCCCTCATAACTGTCTCCTTTATTCTTTTAAACATCCATCTCTGTTGAAAAATTAACCTGCTATTCAACACGTGCCACTTCCACAAATGGGCTGCTTGCCTCCTCCAAGCCTATTGTAAATTACTTAAGATGCTATCAAGGCTTAATCCATCTTTATTCCACTGCTGTGTGGAGGTATTTAGAGAGAAGAGGTGTTAGAAAGCTAGAAGGCCAGAGTCCCAAAAACTTGCTTAACATAAAGTTAATCAAAGAGATTACAAAGACTGAGGATCACAATGGGGGCACAATCATGCCATTCTGAAAGGTCAGGCAGGCAGGTTTGCACAATGAGGACTCCAGTGTCCATATAATACCTCTCGAATAACACGGCTCATCCTCTCACGTCTAATCCTTGATAAACAGTCGACTCGGTATGTAACTGATGCAAGGACAGTGCTTAGTGTGATGGGATAACCGTGACAAATATAACAGAGATGGGCCAAATGTCAAACTATATAACAAAGAATGGAAACTTGAGTTTTTGTTTCTGGGTTTAACATAAGACTGATATCATTTACTACTTGTGCTATTTTCAAAGTAGTGAACACTGCTGTAAATTAATAATAGCTAAAGAGAAAAGATTCCTACAAAGTGTCTGCAGAGCAGGCGTCTCTTTCTCAGACACGACTCATCATCGGATAATTTTTTAAAACGCATTTGTTGTTTAGGTTTAAGACAACACAAGCTTTCTGACTTTAACAGTTAGCTTTGAGCAGATAGAAAGCGCATGCTTGGCTATTTCCTGGTTTTTCCATTAACATTAATCAATATTTAACTGAGAACGGGCACCAAATCAAAATAATTGTCAAAATAATCCTTAGTTGCAGCTCTTTTGTGGTGAAACTCAATGTGTGAAGAGTAAAAATATTCATAATAATGACTTTAATTGGTGTTGAGATTAATATTTCAAAACCTGTCTCCACCAGCAAAAATTTAATGCAGTAATACTAGAGGCTATGACCCCCAATTCGCCTGGCCTATTAACAATTAAATTTGATGGGATGATAATGTATGATAATCATGAGTAATCAGGTGCCCGCCGATAAATGGGATGTTGCCGGCTGGTATGTCACCTGCATTTCAAATTGTGTCCTTGGCAACACCAGCCTAAATGCAATTGACAGCTGGGGAATCCAACACTATGCTGTTCATCAGTCCAGTTGTCTGGATACCTTTCCAACCCACCCTTGTACTGCCAAAATAGCTCTTTGCTATGGTGCCATCAATAACCAGCACAATCACAGACCTCAAGAAACCGGAATGCTGTGATACTGACACTAAAGGCCAGAAATTTGTGTAAATAAAAATACATTTTTGACAAAGACCGACTACTGTGCAGAGGTCTGGCATCTGGCAGCAGGGTTGTAAATTCACATGAGCGCAATTGGATGCAGCCATTTCCAATGGCTCATTTGCATAAATCCATATAAAAGGCGCTCTCCAGAAAGATGTCAGTCAGTACCAGCACCACCTGATGCCTGAGCATCATTAAGTAGAAGGATGGAGTAACTTAAGGCACCCTGGGTGACTTTCTAGCGAGTGATTTCCTTCAATACAGTAATTACTTTAAAGGCATTTCTGTCATGTCTTGGATGGGCTCTTTGTGAGTGAAATAAAGGACCTTTTCTTTCAGGAAATCACCGACTTAAGCTCAGCCCGTCTGACGTGAAATTCTGCCTTTGCAATATGTGGTACACCCGAGCCCCATCAAACCACCACCCCGTTTCACTAATTTAGATACTGTTCGAAAAAGGTCTCTGTGCCTTTGGGATACAAACTTGTGGAAAGTGAATTTTAACTGGCAGTATATCCTGGTTTCACAATTCCATTATATGCCAAGCTGACTAGTCTGAGCCCCAGCCCATCCATAAAGAGCTACTAAGTAAGTCCCGCCACTGCAGCCCCAACCTCTAAAAGTCGACCGCCTAAAGCCCCTATCACGTATTTCCAGTTGTGCAGCCAGGCTCCTATCAGTGTTTACAGATTTTCTTTAACAGTATTTGGCCTGGGCAGACAGGCTAATTGAAGTAATGATATTGCCCTCACTAAAAGGGACGCTAACCGTGTGAAGGAGGAGAGAAAGTGAGGCGAAAGAGAGGTAGAGGAGCAGCTGCTACTCACAGGGAACCTCTGAGGACCCACAGCAGGTCTGGGCTGGCTCTGAGCAGGAGGCATCAAGGGCACTGCAATGAGAGGTAGAAAGAGAGCAAGAGGAGGAGGAGGAGGGGGAGGGGGAGAAAATGAAAATGAGAGGCAGTAGGCAGAGAGAGAGGGTGGTGATTGTAGAAAGGAAGGAGACCATTAGACATATCCATGCTAAAGGCTCTTAGTCAGGGGTACATGTAAAATTTTAGCTCAGTGTTGCTGCACAAATCTGACCCCTCCCCAGTTAGGTACAGACCAGGGAGCTCAAGGAAATAGTAAATACTTGCTTGAATCAACAAATATAAAAGAAGAAATTTCTTATTGTTTGAAATGTTATTTTTTTAATGGGATTTTCTTAATAAGCATTGGTGAAACCATATGCCAACATCCAGCACTGGTAAAGAAAATTAAAGTGGAACATATAAACTACACAACACAGATGTACAAAAATAAATAAATAAAATGCACTTGCACACATATGCACACACAATCCTAACCTCAGGCACCCCCAGATCTTCCAGCAAATGCCTTTCTCTTGGGAGCACAGCCCACACTGCACACGCTTTCCTAACACAATTTCAATCTCGGCCTGGACAGACAGGCCGGATAACCCATCTCAGTGAATGAATGCATACTTGAGTTATTGTAACACTGTTCATCTTCACTGCCCATACTAACAAATTTAAGACATCTCATCGGGTCATATATGGCATAATTTTGTGAATCTACTCTAAAAAGTGTTTAAATACATTTCCAGCCACCATAAAGAAACATGGCTTAATTTGGGTTTTAGCTTGGTTTTCGCAGCATATGAAAGCCAGGCCAAAGCCTAGATTTTCAACTTCTAGATTAACTTTTATCTTTGTCCTTAATCTGTGTTCATTTCCTGTTTTTTGTTTTGTTTTTAAATTAAAGATGTCTAACAGTATCCATTGCCAGTTACTGTGGTTTAATAAACAGGCAAATAGATAAACAGCCTCTTGTAACTTCACTGAGTTTATAAGAAACCATCAGTTACAATTACTACCACGGCCCAAAGATGAAGAACTGACCATCATCACTAATGGGATGGCAGACTGGCTCGGTCGCAGCCTCAGGCGTGTGTGGCTACACTGAGTGGGGGTTCCCTCCCCACCTCACAGCCGAGAGGTTTGCCGGACAAGGACCCGGGGCAAAACGCTGTGTTGCTCACTTGAAGTTTATGCATCGAAAACTGTTCAATAAACTAATTTTTTCCACTTACAGATTATTTGCAGACACTGAAGCTATAATAACAAACACTGGAAATGCTAATGAAGTCACCGTTTGACTGACTTTGTGCGCAGGTGGGATTCTCAGTTTCCTGTCAATTTCTCGATTTTTTGTGTGTTATGTCTTTGACTCCAAAAAGTTGCACACAACAAATACGACTCTCTAAAGCAATGTGGTTTCTTATGCATTAAAACTTGTAAATGTGTATATAATTATGAGAGATTGGCTTGATCCCCTTGTTAATGGACAGAACTGTTGAATATATAAGTTCTCCAGCAATTTTAGTTTTAACACTAATCCAAAGAAAAACTGAATAAGAGGGATATATTAGGTTAAATAACAAAAGTCACCCAGAAAGCACTGGGTTGACGCTGGAGAAAGGTACCTTGAACGGGTGACGTTGCAGGCCCTCTGAAGTGGGGGTTAATGTGGATGTTCTTAGGTTGTGGAGCCTGTTGCTGGTGATGTGGAGGGAAGTTGGGTGGCGGGGAATTCATCAGTCGTGGTGGCGGCTCCATCTGAGGTCGCAGCGGCGGGGAGCGATGAGACATGTGCGGAGGGATGAGGGGCTGAAGGGGCTGCTGAGGAAGCGGACGCCCGTGATCTTGGAAGTGAGGCGGTCCGCTTGGACGTGAGGGGTGGTGCTGCGGGGAATGCAGCTGCTGCTGATGAGACTGATGAGGAGGAAGCATTCGCGAGGACTGCTGTTAATTGGAAAGAGAAAGGAAAGCAGAGAGGAGGGAAAACCAAAACAACCCGTCAAAACACCTTCCGACCTTTTGGATTCTGCTATGATGCGAGGACACACCAACAAGTCAATTCAACAGCAAGAGCAAAGACAGTATGGTAGAAATAGGATGTACGTCTGTTTTCTTTATGCTGGGTTCAGACTCTGTGATAACAGCCTGATTGTGGCCTCATACAGATGATGTAGGCTTCACTGTTAATCGAAACTGGAGCAACTGTCCTGACAACGTGCTATGTCAGAATATTTTGTGAGGTTGACCATTATGAGCAAAGTAAAACAGGAATGATGCTGCCAGTGTAGCTCAATAGATATCATGTGCAATCATGATTAATAAAGGAGAAAGAGCAAGTACTCCGTCATGTCTCTCAGTTACAAAAAGGCAGGTTTTTAATGACTATGATCGCTAACTCTGCCACAGTGACCATCATTAGAGGTAGACAATTTTTGCACTGTGAACCCAGCGTTAGATTTCATCTACCTTCATTCAATAAAAATATAAAATCTTTGAAATATGCTACAAAAATTAAGAAAAACAAACAAAGCCAACACTTAAAAGTCATGCCACCTGCTACCACTGGAATATCCCTGCCATCGATGCATCAAAAAAATAATTATATAGTTAGGTGATGTTTCAAATGGGTCCTTGATAATTGGTCAATATGTTTACCGAGCAAACAAACAAACAAACATGCCAGTGACCAAATTAGTCAAATAGTTAAGCCTGACAACTAGAGTGCCTTGTAAAAAGCACACACTCATTAACGGCAGCCAGCAGGATGTTTGTGGTGTTGGCATGTCATCCCTGTGCCATTAAATTTTCATTTCCAGTGTTTACGTTTGGTTTTGAATTTTAAAGCCTATTAACACTAATTAATACAACCTAAAATAATGCAGTGCTGGAGTTGGATTTCATCTAGCCTTGAAAAAGAATCACTTTAATCAGTCTCAAGCTGTGAACAACGGGGGAAACACCCAACTCATACTTTTATTTGTTACCTGAAGCCTTGATCTAAAAACGTAAAGAAACCCAACACACCTGCACAGTTTGTTTTATTAAAAAAAAAGAATAACATTTTTATTTGATAAAATTAATTTACATTGTAACTATTTATATCATATACCAGTGTATAAAAAGGCCCAGGATGTGCTGAAAAAGTATTAGTTACTTGCACATACACATGCACATTATGGTACATGCTCAATGTGACTTTTTCACCAATAATAAATGTATATCAAAAGATTAAATGGTTGGAGCTCAGTCCTGTGTAAAGAGCAAACAATTTTTTATAATGCTGTCTAAATGAACAACTGCTAAATCATTTTCTATAATCCATATATCACTGACTACAGGAGAGCAGAGAGTGCTTTGACTTTCTTTCCATGTGTAATCAACCATTGCTGTGGTGGTTTTAGATAGGAAGGAGAGCAGCAGCAAAATAAATACATGTCAAGTACTTAGACACGCTGCCTTGTAACTGTGACGAATACAAGGAGGTAAAAAGTTGAGCCATTTCAAATCATCTTATTCAGTGAAGCCCTCATGCTCCCTTACAGTGAAGTGACACAGTACTGAGTGATGCAATGGTCTGTGTAGCCTAATAGGAGAACGCTTTAAAAACATTCAGGTGGATGACTTGACAGTGCTTTACCTGCATGCCCATGTTTCCCATCGGGGGGAATCTCTGGTCGTTCATTCTTCCTCGGTTTCCTCCTCTATAATCTCCCATTTCAAACCCTGGGAAGCCTCCTCTTCCTCTGCCTCCTCGTCCCCCACCTCGGCCTCTGCCTCCGTGACGATTTTGTTTCTTCTGCCGTTCTTGCTCCTCGAATTCCATCAAATCTCGCTTGGCCTTCTCTGACAGTTCTGTTTATACGTGGAACAGGAAAAGGAGGCATTCATACATTAAACTTAAATCAACGGAAGTTTAAGTAATGTAAATGAAGCCTATAAGAGTTTAGAGAGATTCAATGTTTCAGCATCTTTAAGCATTCAGGCTGTCAGTGGATACAGAATAAATTATTCCCAGTAGGAATAATTTGTACCTAGTGTTTCAGGGATGTTCCGCCTTTTGGAGCCTGCATCTGCCAGGCGCACAACAACGCCCTCCTTTCTTTCAGATTTGAACCTTATGCGGCCAGACTCTTCATCTTCCTCGTCTTCTTCATCCGATTCCTCCTTTGTTTCTTCTTCTTTTTCTCGCACAGCCTCATTTTCACCCTGAAGGACATGCTCCGATGTTAGAAACAGAAGACGTCTCCTATCCTAACATTTGCTTCACCATTTTTACTCTGTGGCTTGCTGTGTTTAATTTCATCATTGGCTTTATTGCATGAAAGGACATCCTAAAATTCATGCTGGTGTTTATTGAATATACACCAACAGTTGGGGGCCAGTAGCCAGAAGGTTAAAGCATATACTCCCATTGCTACCAATCAAGCTCTATGCATTCCTAGCTAACAAAGCCAGCCCTCAAGCTTGATTGTACCATGTGAAGTTGTAGCACCACTTGTTCATCCCGTTTCAACACTGAAATAAAAACAATGAATCTAAAAGAAGCTGGCTTCAGAATACCTCCTCCATGTCATAGACTCGATTCCCTTCAGCAGTGTCTTCATTCTGCTGATTTCCCTCCACCTCCTCTGTGTCCTCCCCTGCGCCCTCCTCCTGCTGGGCTCCATCTTCATCAAGAGGCTCATCACCATAGGGGGTTTCGTATTCTTCATCCTTTAAAGATGAAACGGTTAATATGCATCAATAAATTGACAACAGATTTCTGATTAGGACCGGCAATGAGCAAATAATTTTTTATTTTTCCTGTTTCTGTTGAAAATAAAAAAAACATTCTGTTTAATAAAAATGCTGTTATAGATTATCTTTTTTCCCATCACTAAGAGCTGAAATGAACGCAAGAGGTGACATGATGACATACTTTGCAGTGCAGATTGATAAAATTTCAACTTTTCTCATTAAAAAAGGACAAAAAAAATAAATAAAATAAAAATGCTATGGTGAGGTTTTTGGGGAGGCACCAGACAACCCCACCCCTTCCAAACCCAAATTATCATAACAGTAGGAGCAAGGCTTCATTACTATTCCTGACAGCATTTGAAATTCAATGAGATGTAAATGTTTGACATGATATACAGAAATGCAGGCGCAGATAAAAACACTCCTCCCCGCTTCAATGATGGTGAAAATATCATTGACTGACTCCTCACAAATCACTCCGTTACTGTCCACGCTGATTTCACTTCAACCCATGATGCAAACACTGAGCTGTGATCCAAATACACAACTCAGTCAAAAAAAAAAAAAAAAAATCAACACACAAAAGGTGCAATATAGCTGGAATATGAGCTGCCAGCGATTCCAGCATCCGAACTGCACAATACCCTCTAACAAATACCAATGGCTGAATAAGGTCAGATTGTATGTCTTGCAGTGATGTTAGGTGATGTTAGGTGTTGTGCTCCATTAACCTGCCAGCAGCAGCGCCACGTAAAAAGGCAGAAAAGGGGGGGGAGGGGGGGGTATTCCAACCAAACCAGGCGGATGGACAGTAAGCCCCAAGGGAGGCACAAGAACAGCTTAATCCTTTAAACTGTTCCACAAAATGCTCAATGAATACCACAGTGAGCAAAATGTCAAGGCCATGCAGTCTAGTGACCTTGTAAACAGGCATTGCAGATAGCTGAAATACACCTCCACACCTGCAGACATCTCCAAAATATCCAATCCAAAATAGGCAGCCACTTGTGCTAAGAAGGTCAACATCTTATCGTTGTTTGGAGAAAGACGGTAGGCTAATATATCTCTGTCAGGTGACACACACAATCACACCATGGTAAATGGAGCATAACAGACATTTGCACATGGATCTGGTCTTATCTTTGATCCTCTTAGCCCAGGCTAAGAGGAAAGGAAAACGAATAAAAGGGAAACTCACATCAATCATTAGAAAACTGTATGGAGTGTCCTCGGGAAGGTCAATAATCTTTTCACCTGCATGAGACTTTATCAGATCCAGTCTAAAGGCAGAGATAAAAGCCCCCCACATTAACCTCTGCCGATTGGCAGCACATCTCCCTGACACAAAGCAGCTTCTTACTCCCCCAAAGATACAAGGCCCAAGGTCACAATGGCACAGGGATTTGGAGGCGACAGCAGAGCATTACCTCACGCCAAACAAGCTGTCAACAAAACTTTGTCAGCAAGATGGAGAAATTAACTGGCAGGAAGTGATAATGAATCTAATCCTCCCCTGCCAAAAAACACCGACCAACATCTCCTTCTCCTGAATAGATTTTCAATCCTGACTGACCCTGTACTGAGACAAGAAAATTGACATTATCTCTTGGACACAATAGAGCTGGGCAGAAAAGGGGGAGAGAAATGTGTGTGTGTTTAGGCATAGATTTGAACAACTGAGGAAATGTGAGAACTCACTTGAAATTCACCATCAATAGGCTCATTGATTTGGATGTTTAGCACACCATCCTGATAGTCGTCGTCAGCCTCTGCTGGCTCTCCAGCGTAACCCATTTGGTCTTCGGAAATCTCTGCGCCATCTTCTTGGCCATATTCCTCTGTATATGCCTCATCCTCTTGCTGGTACTCCTCCACATCCCCTTCTTCGCAGCCCTCTGCACCGAGGTTCACAACGTCATCGGTATAGTCTGCTTCCTGTGAGTTGTCCTGCTGGTCATAGGATGTGCCCAGGGTATATGTGGTATTGAGGCTGATATCCTGACCACTGAGAGGAAGTGAAAACATTTTTAACATCCCATAAAACAGAAATGAGGGATGATGGAAGTCTAAGCAAAGATGAGGACACAGATATAAGTGGATTACCTTTGATCTACGTCTTCATCATCACTTCTGAGAAGATCATCATTCAGCTCTTCATCTGACATTTCTGATGGATTCTGAAACAAACAAACAAACAAACAGGGCCATTATGGTGTTAAACATACTGTTCTTTAGATGTGTGCGTGTGTTGTTGTGTCTGTTTAAGGTGTGGGGGCAGGGGACCACCTCCAACCCCAAAGGATGCTCTATTCCCATGTGGTGAAGGCAATCTGGACAGGTCAACAGAGTGCTTTTTTGTCCACTGTACTTCCTCCTGGTTCACATCAACAATTCCCCCTGTGGAGGAGCCACCTGCTACAAATCCACTGATCGCATCACTTTCTAAATGTTCCACAAACACCATCAACTAATGTTTAGGATGTTGTTTTCCGGTTTTTAAGCAGAGAAACCATACCAACAGCTTGGCACAAAGCACACACAGCAAAAAAATGTGACTTTTAAAAGCTTTTAGCTTATTCTTACCTTTTTACCTGACAGCCAGTCCTCTTCCAACAAATCCTCTTCCAAATCACTTTTGTAGCAAAAAGACAAACAATGACAGGTGAGTAGAGTTAGACATCAGCATGTTACTTAATACTGCCTTACATAATACTGTCAACTCTCTATTCAACTAGCAAG